CATTAAATGAAGGGTCGTAAGTCAAGAACTATTTGTTGGTCATGTACAGGGTCAGATTACTCCAGTCTCCTCATCTTCTGAACAGGTGATTTTTAAAACAAACAAACAAACGAACAAAAAATCAGAGAACAGTACTTGAGTGGATAACCCTGGTAAAACTCTATGGCCCGAAGCTGGGGGTTTACATCTCTTCAGAAACCTTTGATTAAGATAGGCAGATTCTTTCCACAAAGTTGGAGGAAGGCCAGTAAATGAAACAAAAGAAGGGTTCTTTTTTGATGTGGTGCTAAATCAAATCTAATAGGGTTTTTTTTATTACTCTGTACAGTTTCAGGAATTCTGTGTAGTCTTAGTCTTTTTATTTATATCTCAGGTTATGCAGGAAGAAATAATAATTGCCCTTAAGCTACACTCGCAATTTATAATATAATTTAGTACCCTAGCAACACTACTTCCAGGAGGCTGAGCAGAACTGCTTTATATGTAGGAGAATCAACACCATTCTGTAATCTGCCTGGAGTACTGCATTCTTTCGTAAATGTTCTTTTCAGCTAACAGTTATTTTATCCCCAGCTAGGCAGTTCTGAAATTTATCTTATTTATAATTGAATATTTGCATTTTAATACTTATAAACAAAGGATGCATAGGTGAAAAAAACTTTGTTACACGTGATTTATCAATTTCATAAAGCTTCCTGAAAAAGCCCATTTAGATATTGTATGAGCCACTTAAATCTGCTGTAACTGTAGGTCAATAAGGGAGAGAAAGACTACAAGTAGTCCTTCGGTTATGATAGCAATTGGGACTGGAACTGCCATTGATTGCTAAGCAACATGGTTGTAAAGGTTGATGATGACTGCAGGGACAATGTGACAAATGGAACTCTAAGCACCTGTCTTAAGTCTCTCTCATTCAGCACCATTGCAAGTTTGAACAGCCACTGAACAAATGGGTGCAATCTGAGAGCCACCCATATTAAATTTGGGCTGTCTTTCCCATCTAAAGTACCTTATGGATTTGTGGACCTCAATTTTGGGGGTACCGTAAAAGAGCTTCATTAGCATACGGTCTACCAGAAGCCTTTAATGCCTTTCATCTTCTATTATTGAGAAAGAGATGTAATCAATTGCTGTTTGTTCTGAGTTTCTATATCCTTGGTGAGTTCCCAAATCCTATTCCTGATATATTAGTTACATTAAATTATGCTTAATATATGTATTAGACAAATTCTATAACAACAAACAAGGGGAAACTGTTTTCTCATTATTAGGATAGTTTGTGTTGTGGTCATTTCCTCTGCCCACCAGGTCCAATAATTAGAATGGTTAACTGCAAACAGATGCATTTGAATTTTCTACTGATAGGATGAGCCTTTTCCTCCATTTTATCATGGAAATAATTGTACAATGCTCAGCCACAGTATAGTCTCATATGCAGGAAAATCCCCACTTGGTCAATGATGGTCAATAACTCATCACAAATAATTATCTGGGAACCATATTAAGCTCTCAAGTAGATTATCTGACACAAGGCAGCTGTCTCTCTGCCTTTTGTACATGACAATAGCAGGGGCTCCACAGGTTATATAGTCAGGACTCTGGAACATAATGGGAATCTTTAGGAAGACTCTGCTTGCTTACTAAAGCCAGGGCTTTTTTTTGCCCTAGAACGCCCAGAATAGAGTTCCAGCACCTTTTTTGGATGGAACCTTGTAGGTTAGGCAAGGCGGGTTGTATGACGTGTGTGAGTTCCGGCACCTTTTTTTTTTTTCAAAACAAAAAAAGCACTGACTAAAGCATTCTTAGCATTGACCTAGCAGGTTATTCTCTTGTCCTCGTTCTATATATGGGATAACCCATAGACTAGAGGCATGAGAACACAGTCATTCCCAGGCTTTCTCAACAGGGTTTTCTTGAATGGGAGAAGAAAGAATGGAAATTTTTGTTTTTCCACTTATGCAGTTTTAGGCTTGGATTTCTTTGTTACTCAACAGAAGAGGCATTTGCCTCAAATAGAAAAACAGATTGACATACATTTCCTATTTAATTTCCTGTTTATATTTATAGAAATTCTTCTTTTTTGACTTAACATTATGAAGGTGACATTTTATGGCCTATTTTGTGGCCTATGCACTATGAGATTATTTCTTTCAATACTCACATCTGGTTTCTTAATATAGCAGTTTCTTTGTTGTAGATTTAGTTCTAGTACCTCTCCTGGGGGCAGGCTGCTTGGTGGGCTGCTCTATTTCTCTGCCACCATCTTATCTCAGCTTACTTTCAAGGTTCTTTTGCAGTTGTTTGTAAAAAAAAAAGGCATTTTTAAAAAATACACGAGACTACAAAATCTAGGCATTATCTGATTCATACTATTGGGAGCCATATCTATGCAATTGCTTGTCTCAGTGAGTGCTATATATAGCTTTATACATTTCCTTGCTATTATTCAATTTGAGCCAGCCAGTTTTGAATTTAGAAATGTCACTTTTTTGCTACATAATGAAAGTATGAGCCTCTGTTTTCCCTCTGCTCTGAAAACATTGTGCTTGATTGCACATTTATCTCCATTCTCATATTCTTAGTTTACTTTAATTGTGACTATTGAATAGCAAATGCAAGTGATAAACCCATGTAGAGGAATTTTTATGCACTGTAGTAGACACCAATTCTACATGTATGAATGACTGAAGCCTTATGGCTCCTGTTTAGATAAATAATGTGTAATTTATATTTATAGGCACGCTTTCTTTTTTTTGTTGTGCCTAAATCAACATTAGAGCAACATTTTCTTAATTAATAGATGTTATTCTTTCTTTATATGAAAATACCCCAAGCAGTGGTGTTCCAGCTATATTTATAAAAGGAACAAAATAAAAGTTGTTTTTAAAAAGTGCTACATAACCCTTCTTAAGGTTATCATTACTCTAGATAATTTTGATTCTTACATATTCTGAAGGAAGGACGGGGAAATTTCTATTCCCTCTTTTTTTTCCTTAACAAAATATAAAATCTGACAATGCAGAGGGCAAATTGGATGCAGAGTGTTTGCTTTCTAAGGGTCTATTTTATAACTGTAAAAGAAAAGAAGAGATGCAGTGCCACCTTCTGGCCAAATCAAGCTAATACGAATAGGATCAATAGAATTCTATAAATAACAAGTAGTTCTCCTGAAGTCTCAATGGCACTGAAAAAAAGTGATTAATGACCATTTTTTCACACTTATGACTGTTGCAGCATCCCCGTGGTCACATGATCAAAATTTGGATGCTTCGCAATTGGCATGTATTTATGAAGGTTTCAGTGTTCCAGGTTCATGTGACCTTTTGCGACCTTCTGATAAGCCAAGTCAGTAAGGAGGCCAGATCCACTTAACCACCATGTTACTAACTTAACATCTGCAGTGATTCACTTAACAATTGTGACAAGAAAGGACCACAATAGGACCTATCATATAAGATGAACTTTTGAAAAAAAGAGCTTTAATTCTTTGTCGTCCATGAAATCTGATTTTCAAACCTTACGTGAGAAAACATTTAACTGCAAGACATTTAAGTTAAAAGAAAAAAAATACTGTTCAGTTTGTTACATCCAAAAGAATTCCAAAGCATTTCAGAGGAGAAACTATTCTTCAAGCATGCATTTTATGTTTTAACTATATAGATAAATATTTAGACCAAAAACATATAAAGGACATCCTTGAATTAAGCTTAGGTTCTGGTGATGCATCCATTTGGTTTTCTTCGCAATATTAGGGAAGGGCTTTGTCAATTCTGGAATGCTTTCTTTCAAATGCACCATCTAACCATCATCCCTGGCACCCCCAGAGGGCTCTTATTCCAAAAACTAACCAGTGCTTTCCTTACTTGAAATCAGTCCAGGTCAGTTGGGTATTCTTAAGTTAAGTATACTGTATACATGTACCGTAAATGCCGGCGTATAAGACGACTTCTGCAAGCGCTGAAATCGGCGCCAAAGACGGGGGTCGTCTTATACGCCGGAAATACTGGTAGTTTCCAGCCTATAAGACGACGTTCTAGGAATGCGGCCCGGCTTTAAAGACGGGGGTCGTCTTATACGCCGGGTCGCCTAATACGCCGGCATATACGGTATATGCAATTACAGACTATTGTCCTAGTTTAGTTTCCTTCAATTTCCCCTTTCAACGTTGAGCCTAATTTTTTAAAAAAATTAAGGACTGACTTATGCACTAGAATCTAGAGAGCCAGACTGGCATAGTAGTTAAATAATTGATTTAGGAAAAGTCCGAATTTATCTTCAGCCATGGAAACTCTCTGGAGGGCATTAGGCAGTCATCCTATTTTCATCATCTCAATCTACCTGCTTTTGGTGGTGGAGAAATTGTATTCTATATACTCTTCTTTCAACAACAGAAGAAAGTTAGATGGTGTACCAAGTCAGTCCTGACCCTTGGGCTGGATATCAATCTGGAGTTTATCTTGGTTCCTTCTTGTGTACCCATTTTTTTTTTTTTTGTAACAATAGTTTGAATGACTAACAACTAAAAGAGAACACATTTTACAAACGACCATGACTTCAGCCACTTCCTTATTCTCACAACAATTAGTCAACCTCAAAGTTATTTGCATAAAAACAAGATGCTAGGTTGTTGCTGTCCCACTGTAGCCTATTAAGAATATCAGATGTCTGTTCTTAGCTACTGAGTATCCTTGGGCACTTACTATCTTTCAGTCCAAACTCAGAGTTATCAATGTCGGGAAGACTAGAGAAGACCTACATGGTCTTGAACTCCTGGGGAACATAGAAAATCTAACAAATAAATTTTTACTAATCTAACTAGCATACAATAAACTAACTGCAGTCTGATAACGATAATTATATGCCTTTCATAAAATGACTGACCTATGTGCCAAATAAATAGATTTTCTAAATTAAATTAATAAATAGAGAGATCAAGTAGAGCAGCAGCTTTTATTCTGAACCATAAAAAACAATTAGTGATGTACTATCAAGAGAGTTACCTGGGTTTTTGTAGATGCTGAGTACATCCTTGAAATAATGAGGTAAAAATCTTTCTAATAAAAGCAGCACATCCTCTAATTCTTCCAGAATGCCCACAAGGAGGAAATTTTCATTCACATTCATTTTTGCTCTTTCAAGGGCCCATTCACCAGGTTCCCTTAAAAAAAAGTTAGCAATATTCTTCAAACTGAACACAACACACAGTCTGCTAGAATATAAATCACCACACATGAAACAATAGTAATTTTTAATGATAATTATAAAGGCTTCAGAGCCGTATTTATTAGAATGTTCTAAAGTATCTTGTAATTAGGTTTTTGAGATGCTGAAATACACTATAGGCAGCTTTCCATAACATATGTACTCCAAATGATTTGTATTACAGTATACAGTATAGCTCCAATCATCGGACTATTATTCTCATTAGCCACACTGGTAACAGTTGTAGTCTAAAACATTGGGACTGCCTACAGGGCCAGTATAACATCATTACATCCAGCCATTCAAAGTAACAAAGCCAATTCAGCTATTTTGCTAAGTAAAATAGGTAAGTAATGAGTTCTCTGATATTTTGTTTCATCTAAGAACAGGCTACAATGAAAAGTTGAAGACTGTCAATTTTAAGAGGCTTTTGAATAAGGAAAGAAGTCCAACATATTTCTATAAGCCATTTGTGCTTTTTCTAAAAAACTAAATACACTACAGGTAGTGCTCGACTTACAACAGTTTGTTTAGTGACCATTCAAAATTAAAACGGCACTGAAAAAAGTGATTTATGGCCAGTTTTCACACTTAGGACTGTTGCAGCACCCCCACAGTCACATGATCAGAATTCAGACACTTGGCAACTGACTCATATTTATGATGGTCATAATGTCCTGGGGTCAACCGATCACTTTCTGTGACTCTCTGACAAGCAAAGTCAATGGGGAAGCCAGATTCACTAAACAACAATTTCACTAATTTAACAACTACAGTGATTCACCTAACTGTGGCAAGAAAGGTCATAAAATGGGGCAAACTGACTTAACAAATGTTTCACTTAGCAACAGAAATTTTGGGTTCTATTGTGATCGTAAGTCTTGGACAGGGGTAGGCAACCTCGGCTCTTTTATGACTCATGGACTTCAACTCCCAGAATTCCTGAGTCAGCATAGCTTGCCTACCCCTGATCTAGGATTACCTGTACTTTAGTACAGGGGTCCCCAACCCCCGGTCCGTGGATCAGTACCGGACCACTGCATGCCAGCAACCAGTCTGCATAAACAAGCAAAGCCCCATTCGCGAGATGCAGGCAGCACACAAAACCACGCACCCTCTGGTCCGTGGAAAAACCTCTCTCCACAGAACTGGTCCCTGGTGCCCAAAAGATTGGGGACCCCTGCTGTAGTATACAGTCAGATAACAACCTGAAATTCAGTGTCTTTCAGATTACATGATTGTGACTTTGATTGGAATGTTGGTGCTGAATCTTTTAAATCTAATTTGTTGTAGATTCCCTGAACAGTAAGAAAGACTTTAAGAAAACAAAAGCTAGAAAAAAAGGTAAGTTTGTAAGTTACCTGCATCTTGGATGCTGTCCACAGAAATATGGAATAATATAAAATAACCTGGGATTGGAACATTCAGGATAGTTCTCAAGAATACATACATTAATATCCTAAAAGGAAAGGGAAAAATAAAGGAAATGAATTAAAAAAAACCCTTTAAAGTGAGTGGTTTGAATACAGTAATCCAAGCAAATACTGCATACATATACACTAAAAGCATTTTGTATTTTTTATTAAAACAGCTAAACCTTCTTGACTGAGAGAAGCTTCTGCATTGCACAGCTGCATTTCAGATTTTTTAAAAATGTTTTTAAGCAATAATAACTGCTTGAAAAAAATTATATATATATATACATACACACACATACACATACACACACACACACACACACACACACACTCACACACATATATAGGTCTTTGGTTATTCAGGTTTTCTCCCACGTAAAATTGGAAGTGTCTTGGCGACGTTTCGACGAAGTCCCATTCGTCATCTTCAGGCTGGTGTTTTCAGCTTCATGCTTCGAGGAGCAATGTGTGATCTTAGCTGTTTCTTCCTTTTTCTGTTCACACCCCCACTGGCAGTTAAAAGGAAGAAACAGCTAAGACCACACATTGCTCCTCAAAGCACGAAGCTGAAAACACCAGCCTGAAGATGACGAATGAGACTTCGTCGAAACGTCGCCAAGACACTTCCAATTTTATGCAGGAGAAAACCCGAATAACCAAAGACCTACATACAAACACCCACGAAAACCTCAGAAAACAAATATATATATATATAATGTGTGTACACTATATACCAGTATATCATGAAACATCTGCATAAAAACAACCAAGCTCAGACAGCACCAAGGACCCTTCATTTCAATCCTGAGCTACAAATATTCCCCTTTATCAATATTTAAAGCATTTGGCATGGTGTTTAAATCTTCAGGGGTACTCTGCATGCTGAATAAATTTGGAGATATATTCCAAAAATGAGATAGAGAATTGAAAATATTTTTCAATTCTGGAATATTATTCAATCAATACATTTGAAATATTGTATATTCTAATGTTTCATATGCATTCTGAAACTGGAAAGTTCAGAAATATCACTAAGCTAATGGTTCTACAAATCTGCACTTAAAGCATACTATTTCACAGGGTATTTACTTCATTCTGCTTAAATAATTAAAAGATGTCATTATATTGCATTTACAGCAATGTATTTTATCTTGGCTGTTTCCAGAAACATTATTTCAAAAGAATTCCTTGCCTGCTGTTGGAAAAATGACATTTTATCATTTTATCAATCAGATGATTAAGTCTTCCAACTGGCCTTTCTTAGCTAGCAGTTTTTCCTTCTTTTTAAGCTCAGTTTCAATTTTAAAATATATGATGATAGAATTTTCTGATTTTTCTACAGCTATAGTAGTTCATCTCACCAAATTTGTATATTAAATTTATATATACAATATATTACATATTTAATGGTTTCCATACTGTTCCTCATGCAAATCCTTTTAAACTGGATTAATTTTGCCCCAACCTAAAACAATTTAGGTTATTTGAAAACACTGATGAACATTGCTTGATAAGAAAAAATGAAGTTAACAAATATTCTCAAAAATTTAAGACTCTTTTTTATAATATTGCAACTAATTATTAAATAATCTCTTTTTCTTCATAAATAATTATTAATAAAGCTGATGAAGATGTCAACTGATAGAAGCAACAGAAAACCAAATGGGGAATATCAGGGTGGCAAATCAATGTTCAAAACTAATCACTGGTAAACATTCTTTTTTATATATATTTTTATTAAGAGTTTTGAATAGAAATTTAAAACTAACAAAAACTAGTTATAAAGAAAAAAAAGAAAAAAGACAAAGACAAAAAAAGGCAAAAAGAAAGAATGAAAAGAAAGAAGTAGCTTCTGATTTTCTTTACAGCAAATATTAAGTACAATTACAAAATTAACTTTTACTGCAAGGTTACCAAAAAAATCTCTTTTTTCTATTAACTATTTTTTGCTAAACATCAAAAACATAGTATCATTTTTTCTATTCATGCAAAAAGGTCTAAAAGGGATTTTGAGTCAGCAATAAACATAAATCTTATTTTCTCTCTAATCAAGGAACACAGTTTGCAATTCTGCAAGTTCCATCTCTTCACTCAGTATTATTCCATTGTGGGGAAGGTCTTTGTACTTTTGAGCATATAATAATAATCTCATTGCAGAGTGGTGAACTTTTCTTGCAAATATAGAGCTTTTCCCCATGTTACTCAGTCAAAAAAAAAATCCACTCATCATTATTTAAAAATCCTTTTAAAAAAAGAGACCAATAGTTTTTAAATTTCTTCCATTCATGCAGAAAAAAAAATGTATATTTACAAAATCAATAGCCTTTTATAAAAAGGATAAAAGTTACCTCAATTTATACAAAAGATGCAAAGATCTAATGCTCTCCAAATCACCTTATCGTTTCTTTCATTTACTACAGTGGAACAAAGTTCCTGCTTTAAGAAAACTTATCCTAAGACACTTGGCTACTTCTCTTTTATCTTCCTTTTTCAAATATTTTATACTGAAAAAAAAACCTTGTGTAGGAAGTAAAAAAAACTATTGGCATTAAATTTTTTAAGAACTATTGCTATACCCTTCAATGACAAAGGATGAAAAATGTTGAAAATGGAAGGCGATTTGCCCTAGATTAATTAAGCTACCAATAGAATGAAGCCATAACAATTAATTAGGTGTAACAGTAATATTGCTATATTTTCTAAATGACAATCAACAATTTTTAAAATATAAAATTCTTGACATTAAAGTTTAATCTGGAAATGCTTGTCAGTCGCTAGAATTAATGGAAGCTAAATAAACTATATATCTGAATTACTCCACATTAACAGAATAACAAGAGTTGGAAGGGACCTTTGGAGGTCTTCTCATCCAACTCCCTTTCCTTCCACTCTCTTCTACAGGCTGTTCTTGACTTACAACCATTCATTTCGAAGCCATTCGTAGTTACAACAGCATTGAAAAAAGTGACTTATGACTGGTCCTCACATTTACAATCATGGCAGCATTCCCAGTCACATGATCAAAAATTGGGTGCTTGGCCACTGGCCTTTATTTATAATAGTTGCAGTGTTCTGGGGTCATGGAACCCACCCTTTGCGATATTCCCATCTGGCTTCTCACAAGCAAAGACAATGAGAGAAGTCAGATTCATTTAACAATCCTGTGATTCTTTTAACAACCGCAGTGATTCTTTTAACAACCATGGCAAATAAAATCAGGCTCAACACCCTTAACTGCCTTGCTTAACAACTGAAATTCTTGCTGCAATTGTGTTACAACTTATAACCTGTAATGCTGTGGCACGTAAGCAATCAGGAGATTCTTTAAAGATTTGGGGAAATAGAATTTCAGTGTTAAGAGTGCCAGGATAACAAAGAAAACAAGAACATGGCAGCCCTTACACACAAACCATAACAGCAAAAAAAATTATTATTGGTGAGCAGCTCAGGTTAAAAGTATCAATGTCACTATTATCAATGTCAGATTTACATTGTTCTTATTCCAGCAGCACAAACCAACTTACATTGTATCTCCCTTCATGTTAACCTTATAAAAAGAACCCTATGAGGTAGGATGGGCTAAGAGACAGTGAATTGCCCCTATCTGTTGAGTTTCCATAGCCAAGGGAGGATTTGAACATGGGTTTCACCAGTGTTAGTCGACACCTTAACCACTATACCACATTGGCTCCCATATAGTACATGTCAATATGTGACGCATTAGAGTACAGGATTGGTCCATTCTGTCAATTAGGATATTGACTATTTTTACAAACTGACATATATCTTTTTTTCCTCATATACTTTTTATTTAGTATGCAGCCACATCAACTTTCTGAATTGGAAAATGTTTTGAGAAAAATACTGTGTAAGAATATCCTGTGACTAAGTCACCCATTCTGCCCTTCTCTTTTGTCACCAGCAATTTCATATTCTAGAGCATTCTGAAGCTTGTTGCTAAGGATGATGTGGAGCGGTATCAAACATCTGATCCTCTTATAATAGTGTAGTTCAGACTTGTGTGTTTGAGATAGTGTTTAATTGTGGCTTTCAGATGTACTGATTACAACTACCTTAATCTATAGATTTAAAAACAATTTGTGGTATTTTTCTCTTTAAGCAACTTAACAAAGAAACTAAATCTGTCATCTGAAATAAGTATGTATTTAACATTTTTCCTGTTTTGATCATTTTGTTTCATCATCATACAACTATATTTTGCTGTTCTTTTTCTCAAAAAAGAAAATAAAAGTTGGAAACTCAACCAAAATTTCCTCAATCTAATAGTCCTCAAGTGCTGTTCACTATTGTGAAGGAAAGCTATAAACTTTCTGGTTCATTACATGTATGAAAGGAGCCAGGGGAGCAATTAACAAAACAAGATTACTATGCCCAGAGATTGAAAGATTCAACATTACCTACACTGGAGGGATGGTGGGTGAAGCTGATAGATTTTGCTGAAATGGATAAACTGACTAGATTAGAGTTAGTTTTTGATTAGAGAAAAAGACATCTACATTTATTGGTGACTGGAAGCCTATTATGGACCTTTTATATGAAAATGGGGAAAAAAAGAATTCGTGATTTTGATGTTTAGACAGGATAGATTATAGAGAAAAAGTAATATGTTGTAAAAGAGAGAGGTTACAATAAATTTGTACTTATAACTGCAGTGAAGGATATTGGGGAAGTCTCTTTTTTACATCTTTCATCTTTCTTTTCTATTTTTCTTCAACTGTTTTTCTTTTTCCGCACTTTTTACTTCTTTGATTTATTTCTTTTTGTTTTTTTTTCTTTACTTTATATTAGCTTGCATTAATTTTTATCTTCTTGTTACAGGCTTCAATCAAAATTATATTAAAACATGTATGAAAGGGCTGGCAAGTTGTTATCTTAAAAATATGGAGTGAAGGGAAGAGGGGCAACATTTTCATTTATTAACTGTAGATGCTACTCTCAAGCACCCATTGTATCTCTCAAGTTTTAAAGGTGTAGAATAAAATGAATATATTAATGATTGAGACAACTAGTAGCAAGCAAT